AAATATAATAACTAAAATCATTATCCGAATTTTATTATATTGACCAAGAAAAGTCAAATTAGCCAAGTTTTGTGGGACGGAGGTAGTAGAATTTAGGAGTTCAATATGGGGACTGATTTATGACTTGCATTTTGGTAGACCAACAAAAAAGGGCCTAACCCCAACCATGTCCATACCCGCCAGCAATATGGTGCAAGATTTTATCCTTAAAAAGGCCAAAACGCAATCAAAATCAATAATTTAAGTTGTCAAATGACCAAATAAACTCTAAGATACGAATATGATTATATGAAGGTGACAACTCCGGTATCTTTCTAAAAAATTGGGTACCGTACCTACCATTCATTTGATTGGACCACACCACTTTATCATTTTTAATTTAGATTTAAATAATTCAACTGCTACATTCTCTTTGATCCATGTGGACAAAGGTATGATACCTTATGAGTACCATAGAATCTACCTTATATGAAACCTTATAAAATCAATAATGGCTCCATCTTACTAAATTTAAAATGATATTCAGGTATTATTTAGGTAGATACATTAGCCATTATAAACTTTATATTAATGCGATTCTTCAATAAAATTCAAATAGAGATTGTAAACAAGTTGTATATTAGAAAATTTATTATGGTAAATGCCTTATATTAAAACATTTTAGTATGACAGAGGTAAATAGTTAATATAGAAATTAGTTCAAATAAGACTAAAACTATGGCAAAAACCTAAAATAGGACTTGTTATGTTTTTATTCCAGAATAGGACCATATGAGTCCTATTGGAAACATACCTATTTTTGCATTCCATTCTTACCCTTCCATTAAATATGAGTTAAAAATAGTCAAAAGCCATTATTAAATGTTTAATTCATAATAAATTCGAAAAAAATTCAAAAATTCGTAGAAAAATAATTAAAAAATTTATAAAATTTTTATAAAATAAAAAAATCAACAAAAAAAATTTAGTGGGGCTGAAGCGGCAGAGGCGGCGGCGGTTGTTTTTTTTTTTAGTTTTTATTTTTTTATTTTTTTTTAATTTTATAAAATTTTTGAAAAACAAAACTAATTAAATTTTTAATATCGAAATGTTTTTCTTAATTTTTTTAGTATTTTTTACGAATTTTTATTATTTTTTATTATTTTATTAGGAATTAAAACATTTTAATAGCTATAAGGGTATATTTGTCCAAGGTACGTGTTGGGTTATTGGCTTAGAAGCCCAATACCCGAATTAAAGGCCCAGGATATCCGGCCCAAAGTAGCGAGCCCATTACCGTATGATGAGTAGGCCCAGTGAGATATCCATACCGAACGAGGTTCGGTCCAAGTAGAGGCTGGCCAAGAAAGCAGATATACCGAACGGAGTTCGGGTCATACATCATACTTGGGCCAAATTGACAGTGTCTTCCGCATGGTCCAGCATCCCGATCGGGCAACGGACAAGCAGCAAGTGGAAGCATGGGTGACCAAGTCGGTGAAACAACGGCCAATCAGCATAGAGCAGGCCATACTCTCCGTCCATTAGTATAAATAGAAGGTTTAATATCATTGTAAGGGTTAGCATTTTGATACTCAAGCCCTAGAATAACATTTTACTCTTGTTCCTTGTATTAAAGCACTATTCCGACGTACCGATCGGGAAGTTTCCTTGTAATCAGACAGGTTAATTAATACAAGTGGATTTTTGAGCATACATTGATTCATCTTTTATATTTTGTTATACACTTTGATTCTGATCCATTCCTAATATATCCAAAGTTCGTGTTGGGCTTTCGGATCTGTGGGAGTTAACCTCAACAGTACACATAATTAGTCCTATGCAAACATAGTTTATTTTTTGGTCCTATTTGTGAAAAGTGAATGACTTTTAGTCCTATTTTGATAGTTAACTCTAGTTAATATTGTTTTACACTTATCATACTTAATTATTAGGGTAAATCACTATTAGCCCCCTGAGGTTATGTCATAATTATTAATGTAACCTTGCATTTTCAAAAATCAATTACTTAACCCTTGAGTTTTTATTATTCTCACTATTTGCCCCCTTACGTTAATATTTGTTAAATTAGATTTAATATAACTTTTAAATTTAATGAAAGTTGTCTATAAAATTAAATTTTAAAGTAAAATACAATTTAGTATCATAATAAGTAATTGTTGTTGATCAATTTTTTTTTACTTATTACTTGATCACGGAATAAATATTAATGAATGCAGTTAAGATATAATACTCAAGAGTAAGATATAAAATATCACGAATTTTATACACACGAAATAAATGTCATTGAGGTTAGTTCGGCCGAATGAATTACAAATAAGACTTTTATATTCATGACGAAGATGTGTCTTGAATTTCGATCACAATATTTTAAACAACTTTCTTTGATATATCTCATGCGTATTACTCGGCTCGTGACTCATGACTCTTTTACTTAAACTAGTTTCATTAATATTTATTCCACGATCGAGTAGCTAAGTACAAAAATATTAATGGGCAACTAATTGATTTATACGCATAAATCCTTCATTAATGATTTATAATTATGATAATTAATTGAATTTTACTTTTAAAATTTATATTTTTAGACACTTTTCATTGATTTTAAGAGTTATGTTTAATTTAATTTAACAAATATTAACATGCGGGGCAAATAGTCAGAATGATCAAATGTGAGGGGATACCTAATTGATTTTTGAAAATGCAAGGTTGCATTAATAATTATGACATAACCTCAAAGTGTTAATAGTAATTTTCCCTAATTATTAAATTATAATTTTTGAATTTTTTAGTATCTGATCTTTTAAACCGAATCTCAACCATTTATTTAATTAATTATAAAATTCACTAATTTATACTACCTAATGGTTTAAAACTTGACATTTGATCATGTTACACAACAAATATAAATATATAAAATCATAACCTTTTTCATTAAATGATTACTTCATTCGTTCTTTTTTAATTGCAATAGTCTACTTTTCATATTTGTCAACGCACACGTTTGACCATTAATATTTTTCATTCCTTATTAGTAAAAAAATTTAAAAAGTCAGATTTCGAAAATTTCAAATGAGAAGAATTTAACAATATTTTGTTAAAATTAAATTTATAATACATTAAAAAATAAAATATAGTCAAAGTAGAATGTGTGAATAGTACAAAAAGTTCAATGTTACATTTAAAAGAGAATAGAGGTACTACTACTGAGTAGTATATATATATATATGGTGGATGCTCTTGTGAGTAAGCCAAAAACATCAAATTCAAACCAGCTCAATGATCAAGTCGGGCTGATCTAAAAATTCATCTAAGGGCAGGGTAAAAGAGTGGTTATACCATGATTAATGAGCGAGATAGATGAATGCAGAAAATGCAACTTATCCACAAGATCCCAACTCCACGAGCAATTGTACGTGATGAGAAGCACAATGGAGGGTTCAATAATTTTGCTTCCATTATTGAACCGTCGCTTTTATTGAGCACATGTTTATCCTTAAATCACACTCCATCCGTAATAAAATTAACTTCTTATTCATTATTCACAAAATCAATCTAAATTACTCTTAATCTTTTGTTTTACATATCAAACTTTCACACTTTGTTTTAATCTTTTAATGTACTTCCTCCGTCCCCTTAAAATGTTCCCGTTCGATTTACGATGCTGGACTGACGATAAAGCAACTCGATCCCTTTTCACACTCCGCTTATTTTTAGTAAATAAAATTTACATATTCAGAAACTACATTAAAACCGCTACAAAGCCTGATCAAGTAAAGTTCAATTTGATAAAAATTTGATATATAAAATCAAAGATTAGGAGTGACCTAAGTTGACCAATGAATAGTGAACGGGAACATTCCAGCAGGACGAAGGGAGTAGTTTCTAAATATAATTTTTCTTTGCTAAAAGTAATCCGAGTATAAACAAAAATCGAGTTATTTTATCATAAGTCAAGCACCGTAATTTTATGAGAAGTTAATAATGGGACGGAGGTAGTATTTCCGAGTACTATAGTGATAGTATAATGAAATAATACTAAAAAACTATTTGAACACATTTACACTAGTTTATAAATAAATTATTTTGTGTTCGTAAATAACAAAACAACAACTTAAAACCTGTTCACGTACATGTGTATTGATGTGTGCAAAAAAAAAATGTGTACAACAATCAAGAACGAATAATATAATATGAATACTTTGATTTTCTTAGAGTAGTACATTTTTATTTTAAAAAGATCAATATTAGATACTACATACTTTTTACATTTTTACTAGCTCAATCACATATGTTATGATCAAAATAATGTCTTTAATGTTTGTTTAATGTTCCAAATGGATGAATCTCCAACCTCAAATGCCTCCCCACAAACAGAGGATCGCTAATCGCCACATGACCACTGCGGACTTCGATCCTTGATCTATGTTTTAACATTTTCTTCACTCAACCAACTAAGTTACGTATGCGGAACATAGAAATTATAGTGAATAACCTACATTGTGGCTTTAAAAAACCTAAATTGTGGTTTTTGAAAAATTTAATTGGAATTTTTAATTGTACAATTCTGATCTTTTTCTTCCATTTTGTACAATTATTTATAAATGCTAAATCTAAACTGGATCAGGTCTGAAATTGAGATCAGACAACCCCACTACCCTAAATCTTGTAGACCCAAGATTTGGCAGGGATTTTGGTAGGGATATGTCAAATCCATGCCAAAAATACTTTGGCATGAGATAATTGGCACGAAAAATCGGAAAATCCGTATCAAATTCCGTACTAATCCCGTAATTTTTTTTGTAGTGCAGGTTGGACACATGATTCAGTAGTGATTCACTAAACAAGAACAAGGAGTCCACGACCAAGTCGATCCGGGACCTGAATCGGGACCGGGACCGGGACCGAGTTCACCCCTATTCCGGACTGAAGCAGGTCGATTTTTCCCAACTCATAATTATGAGGATTCATTAATTAATTGTAATTAGTAATTGCCACAGCCTCAAGCAAGAAGACATGAAAAAAGACAACGCGGCGGAAATTTATCCCTTCATTCCCTCCGAGGCTTCCATATGGGTACACCCAAATTCAGAATTGAACTTTGTCTCTCGGCGCCTTAGCTTCGCTATTCAGTCAAATAAACCAAAATGCAACTAGCGACAGAAATGGCCATAGCCGCCGTAGATGAGGCTCTCTCAATGTTGAACGACGAGCTTACCCAGTACTGTGCTTGCAGTGTGGACGACCTGTTGGTCGAACTCACATGGTTGAAGTGTTTCCTCGTAGACGGCCAACAAACGCCGGCGGGGAGGAAGAGGGCCGACATCTGGTCGCGTATCATTCAGCGTCTCGCCCTTTGTGCGGTCAATCTCCAGCCAGCCGGCGGCTGGATTGAACCTGGTCTAGAGCCTTTGGCCGTTGAAGGCCTCACCCAGAAACTCTCTGAACTCAGAGAAAAACTCCTCCCGTTTCACTCATCTCCCGTACGAGCTGACTCATCATCTGTTCTTCCCAATGTTCCAGGTCCTCCATCTTCTATGGTATTTTGTTAGCACATTTTCATATATTTTAGTTTCGTTTTCTTGTATTAATTAATTGTATTATTCGATCAGATTCGCCTCCATCTTCCGTTAAAGAAGTAATACCTAAGAGTATTAAATTGCCAGCCTGGGGAGGCCCTGGAGGAACAGATTGGGATTTCATGTTTGATGGTGCATTAAAACAGATTACCATTGTTAACGGTGAAGTTGTTGACTCCTTAACCTTCATTTCCCTGAACCAGAAGGTTTCTTGAAGACACTAAAAGTTGGAGGTTGTGGTCCACGTGGAAAATATAAAACCAGTGAGGTTATAAAATTTTTAGTAGATAGATACTTTAATTATTTTGCTGCATACTAGTATCTTAACTTTCAAATACACTAAATAAGTATCATAAGTATAAGTAAAAGTTTCAAACCACAATATGATAGAAGTAACATAAAATGGTCTTTAAGTATGGAATTTTGGCCACGTGTACAATATGTTGGTAGGAAATTTGAATAAAATTAAGTGTTGAACCATTTACGTGTGATTATGGTACTGATTTTGTACATTTAAAGGTTAAGGTACCAAATTGTAACAACGCCGATAGATAAGTTATTGTTTATGTATTTCGCCTTATACTTCTTTATTTGTAAAATAGTCCGTATGACTCAATCTGTTTGTAAGATTTCATTCTTTTAAATAAATTCAACAAAGTTTACTTTGTGATGAAAATTAATATAACTTGGGTTGTTGTTATGATTTTTTTGAATAACTTAGCTAGGGTGACTAATAGTTTTCCACTTTTCCTTAAGTAGGTAAATATCGATGGACCATCGGTGAGGTTGATTGGAATAAGCGGAACATACGGGTCTTACTCTCCTAACGTTGTGATAAAATCAATGACATTTCGAACCAACTTGAATGTGTATGGACCATACGGCTCCAGTAATGGTACGCCGTTTAATTATGTGGTTGAGAAGGGCGGCAAAATTGTTGGATTGCATGGGCGCTGCGGTTGGCTTGTAGACGCCATTGGCGTTCATTATCGTGCCTAGTTAGTAATTTCATATCCTCAACTTTTAATTAACAACTCTTTTTCTGATGGTTCAGAAGCTACAATCTTGCTGTTGTACGTTTTGCATTTTTCTGTTTATTTCTACTTATGTAAGTTTCTTGTTTTGATATTATGCAAATCATAATATTTTAGTTGTACGGTTCCTAGTTGTTGTTAACGGTTCGGTTCTTTGTTCCTATAAAAAATATGTATGGAACCGTTAAGGCCGATATTTAAAATATAGTGATGCTTTTATATTTGTACATGCTTTTATATTTTATTTGTTAAATGAAAAATTCAAATGTTTTTTTTATTCTATTAAGTGTTCACTTACTTAAGTTTGAGCTTTGATACATGTTTGGAGTGATTAGAACTCTAAATACATTTTAATTTAATACATACATGTTTTGAATTTTTGACGTTTTTATGTGGTAGAAGCTAAACTATGTGTTAATTCTTAGACAAAAAAAAAATATTCTAAGAATCGATAAAAGCAAGAACCGGACCGTTTAGTATTGGTTCGGTTCCATAACAATTCTTGATTTTTATATAAAAACCGAACCGATATTATTAGTTAAAATTTTAATAACGATTCCACTATTTTTGAGTAATAACTGAATCGTTCCCAGGCCTAGTTTCTTTCATACATGACCCCAGCCAAAAAAATTAGTCGTTTCTTTCATGTATGTAGTTATAGCATTTAAATTCAACAATTCAACGATTCAACTAAAACTTGATGATATTTTTACATGGTCAAAACGTTGAAAGTTTAAAATATGTGCACCAGTAAATAAATACTCCATATTAAAAGTGCATTTACACTTCCTCTCTCCCACGCATCATATTAATACATCAATATCGGGTAACTCATCAATATTTATAAACATTTCCTACATATATAATGGCTAACTATAAAAAATTACAACATGAATTTGCAATTGATTTGATGGGGTTACAGGACTAGGCCCAGAGCCTAATCGGCCCAGATCCCGAACTTGAACCAACAGGTCCAGGCCTAGCGATCCAGAGCTCGAGCCAGCCCAACCGATCAAGCCCATCAAGGAGCAGAAGCCCAAGATGGCATGCCTTCCAGCCCAGCCAGAAGCCTGCCTCCAGCCGGGCCAACAACCTGCCTCCAGTCCAGCAGGGAGCTTGCCTACCGGCCCAACCGGAAGCCTGCCTTCCAGCTCATCGGGGAGCCTGCTTACCGGCCCAACCAGAAGCCTGTCTTTCGGCCTAGCGAGGAGCATATCCTCCAGTCCAGTGGGGAGTCTGTCCTCCAGCCCAGCGGGAAGTCTGCCTTCCAGCCCAGCGGAAGCCTACCGCCTACTAGCCAGACCGAGGAGCTCAAACGTTATGCCTGCTAGCCAGGCCGACCTACTAGCCAGCCAGGAAGAGTAACGACCAACAATCAATGCGCTATTAATTATGTATTTAATTTCGTATTAATGTTGTAATTAATTTAGTCATTATTATGTTCGGCAGTTACCATTTGTAATTGCCTATAAAAGGCAATTCGAATTTCAAATACAGATATGCTATTTCTGGCTATCAAATTCCGTTTGCAACTTTCTATTCTCATATTACTTTCCTAATTCCTGCTTGAGTGTCGTACGTAGCTTTCCAAAAGCCTACGAGCGTCCTATTTTGGATCAACATTGGTTCTTTCATTGAGAACCGTTGAACATGTCGTCGCTGAAAGGGAAGGCGGACAGTTGACCAGTTGTGCAGCGTGAGCAGAGGAAGACCGCGCGAAACGAAAATGTTGTACTCGTACACTTTGGTTTTGTTTAAAAATATTTAATTTAAGTTAGTGCCACGTAGGCTAACGTGCATTTTAATAGGCACGTTAGGGGCTCATTAAAATTTTTGTATAGAGAAGATGTGCATCTTGCACTAATTTTGTCCAATTAAATATATAACCACCAACATACCTTAGTTCTCTTACTACACTAAAATTGTTGTGTGCCTCAAGATAATCAATACTTACACTAATATTGTAGTACTACACTAGTATAGCGTACTAAGGTTTGTATTCATGGGAAAATGAAATTCTTCTTTGTGAAAGTGTAGAAAATGGGGCTTTTAAGTTTGTTTGACTTGAGAGCAATTAAACACTTAGATGAATGACTTATGTAATTCAAAATCAATAGAAATGGAGATTCAGTTTTACTAATTTCCACTTAGTGAAATGTTCGTTAATCCCGATTATATCTTTAACTATATCTTCTTGAATAATTAGTCGTACAGTATTTCCATTTTATTAATAATGAGACATGTGCAGCTAATGATTGCATCGAAATCATAGTAATTAATAGGGAAAAATATCATTATATGACTAAAAGAGGGAGACTTTCCCAATATATGACCAAACGAGATTTTGTATGTGGCGTATGACTGAAAACATGCATGTACAAATATACGGTCATTTAATAAAGATGTCAATTTACTCTATTACCCAGTACACGGTTTACAAAAAACGGCTCTGTAGCTTTTTGGAAAGAAAAATTAAACGACATTATTGGTGCAATAATCAAGGTAATTACTGTTGTGGACATCTTGAAGGATAAATCTTTCCTACTGGACTCGTATTTTAATTTGGGTTTGAGTTTTGTACATATATACATAATATTGTAGTAAATGTAAAGGCAGTATTAAAAATCATTGCACTAAACGTAAAGGCAGTTTTTTTGGAACACGTAAAGGCAGTATTAAAAATTACTATTGTAGTAAATGTAAGAGCAATAATAGAAATCATTGCAGTATTAAAAATTATATATGATGACAGTATATATATATATATATATATATATATATATATATATATATATATATATTTTAAACCCGGAAGGTAAACCACCAAAATCAGTGGGGCAAACGCCGGGGAACGTTTGCCAGGTTTTATTAATAAATGTATATATAAATGTAGGATATATATATATATATATATATATATATATATATATATATATATATATATATATATATATATATATATATATATATATATATATATATATATATATATATATAGAATAAGGATCAAATGAGAAGAGTGCTTATCGTAAGAAGTGAGAATGCATCTGGTCCGTTCAATTTAAGATCTGTGCATTAGATTAACAGTTAAGTGCACGGTAAAGTGCAAACAATATTAAAAAAGTGATGCTAGACGCGGTGGCATTTCCGTAATTAATCGGAACTTTTCTTCCATTGCAAAAAGTGCATCAGATTAGCAAAAAAGTGCATTAGAAACAGGTAAATGTGTAACTTCTCACTAGAACCCGACCCTATATATATATATATATCAATAAAACCAATAGTAGAGAAAACGAGGATAACAAATTAAATGCAACAATTAAATCAATAATAGAGAAATGAGGGCAAATTTATAGATATGTTACTGACTTACTGCCCTATATCAATTGATACATAACACATTATATTTGACAATTAAATGGATATATTGTATTGAATTTTACATGCATTGACGTGCCCTTGTCGTGAGGTGCACTCAAAATAATTACAATACAACGATTATACGTAGTATAATGAAGTAAGGTTCGTATCCACATGAAAAGGAATACTTTTCTTTTATATAAATAGTAACAGGGGGGTTAAGTTTGATTTGATTTAGTTTAATTAACACTAAGATGAACGACTTATATGAGTTTCATTAATAGATGTGGTGGCTTGATTTTGCTTTTATCCGCTTAATGAAATGTTCGTCGATCCCGGTTATATCTTTAACTATCTTCCTCTCGAATACTCAATCGAGGAGTATATCCAGTTCATCGAGGGTGGTTATTAATAACGAGATGCGTTCATTAATAAAACTTACTATTGAGTCAATATAGAACAAACGTCGTATATTAACTTGATAGTAGCAATAAAATTAAGATGAAAACGATTGAGATTGATGACCTCAACACAAGTGGTTTATTGGTTTAATCAATATAATTAATTCCCCTTGACATATTAACCATGAGATGCATGCATTAATAATCCAAGTTTACTACCGTTGAAAGAACCATATTAATAACAAGCGTATTAACCGATTGATTCTAGTAATAATTAATATGAGAAACAAGACTAGTTGATACTTTAAGTAATGTTTAAAATATTAACATGAAATGGTAACGGGAGACGTTCGTCCCCAACAGACTTGAAATTACTAAATTAACCTCGTCTTAATAGAAAAACTTTTAAAGTCGTCGGAGCTCACGCCGGAAGGATAAGAAATGGTAACGGGAGAAAACGATCGGATAAGATGTGGCGAAGTTGGAAGTTAGGTACAAAATGTGGAAGTAACGTAATAGTCATGAGACCAAAAGTGGAAATTTTTCATTCCTAATTTCCTATGACTATACAACAACAATATCCAAGCCTTAGTCCCAAAAGATATTGGGGTCGGCTAACATGAATCGATACATGATGTCACCACCAAAAGGAAAAGAAAGGAAATTAAAATAAAAAGATAAGCTATCATAAAAAGATAATATAAAAAGAGACGAATATACATAAAAATGATAAAATAAAAAGGATACAAATAATGTTTATATATATAAGGATAAAAAATAAGGAAAAAAGATGAGGGAAAAAGATGAGTAGTAAGAAATACATATTTGAGTGTAAGAAATACATAACATTTACCGGTGAATGGATTGTGGAAATTTATATTGTAATAACCAACAAAACAGAATTGTTGTAGGTATAGGCATCCTATACCAACAATAATTACATGTCAGTATAATTTATCATTGGTAAATGACAATTTGTTTGGAGTGAATATAAGATCGAGACTAAGGAAAAACTGTAGTCTTCAACAAATTAAAGTAATGAAAAATTTAGATTAATATAAGTAATGTACAATTTGTGTACAAATTTTGTGTACAAAAAAATGGTTCTTGTAAAAGAAAAATACTAATTGTACACAGAATTAGTACACAATTTGTAAAAAGATAGAAATTAATGTCAAAATATTTGCGTACACAAGCAGTGTATAGATTGTATATAAATTTTGTATACACGAGTGTTCTTTGTTAATCTCTAAAGTAGGTGGCTAACTGGCTGCAGAGGTTGGAGTCATTCTTGTAATTTCTAAACAAGGGGAAAATAGTAAAAAAGGATTAAAAAATACGGCTGTTTTATGGACAAGAAGTAATATGAACACTTTAGACCAACAAAATCATCACACCTGGTACCACATCGTGACATTATAGAAACATAAAGTTCACATTTAAATATCAGGAACTAGTATATATTATGATCACAAAGGTTTCAAAATTTCACTCATTCATAAATTAATCCCTATTTATATTTGAGAGCTATGTGACAATTTGAACTAGAAGCGAGAATAAAATAAAATCCCAGTTAGTTTGTACATTAATGATTTGGAAAAGTATGACCTATAGACTATCATGAGTCAAAGATTGAGAGTGAATCAGGGAGATTTAAACATGATTTTTTCCTCCAAAAGTATCTAGTTTAAACATCCTTAAGTAGGAGTTTTTATTTATGATTAGACCAAAATACCTCTCACAACCATTACCACAGTTGCCCCAGAACTACCAGACCGCCGACCGCCGCTGCCATCAGACCTCCGGCTACTGCCGCCGCCTGCGGCCGAAAAAGTCCAGATTTTTTCCTGGCAGCCCGCCAGATTTCTGCCGCTGGAGCCTCCATCCACCGTCGCCGCTGTCACCACCACCGGACTGCCCCGCTATAAACGGACTGTCTTGCTTGTGCAAGAGAACTAGGGGGCAATTAAGTGATTATTAATTAATTAATTCAATAGAGGGTGAAACTGGAAAGATTAGTTCTATTTAGGGAAAATCAAATATTAAGTTCTATTTTGGGGGGGGGGGGGGGGAACCTGTGTTTTTGTCTTAGTCATGACAATTTTTATTCAGATTAATATTGTGTGTACTCTCAAGAAGAAACTTAAAACCTCAAAATCCAAAAATATTAATTTAAATTAATTATACAATAACAGGGAAATGATCACAAGCAAGGTCAAGAGCTACAGATACATGAAAGAGGATGAGGGAAAGATAACAGAGTAGACAAAATGGAAAAACAATAAAAACAGGGTATCCCTCAATTGAGACTCTCAAGTTGAGAGTAGCCTTCAATACATATTTGTTCCATTAACGATACAATGTGATGATATTCTTAAACAAGTGGAGAAAATCATGAACCTGGCGATAAGGTAACATGAGAGAGACATGTCATAATGAGAAAAGGTTGTATCATTTGTCTAAGATTAGCAAACTTTTTGCAAAGATTTTTGGTCAATTCTGTGGTGTTAATTATGACGGGTTGGAAGCGATCATCGGTGCCTAGAAGTCCATGAACCTCACTTCCGGCAAGGAGTTCGATGGCGGAAGACCAGACGGCGGCAACCACCTTTCCGTGCTCGGTTCTTTCGCCGGTGAGGAGGAAGCATTTCATCCACGTCAGCTCTATCTTGAGATCCTGCATCGCCTCTTTCACATCTTTAGTAAGTCTATATGTACCGAACGCGGAGTATATATTATTGGACACGTAATTTGGTTTTAATACCGACTCCACCCTTTTCAGCGCTTTCTCAACAACGTCTTTGGTACTGGGATTCCATATTCTCTGCGCCATTCTTCTCCCTCTCTAGAAAAAAAGGATGAGCTACGCCCACCGATTCCAGATAAATTACTGAGTACTTCGAATATGGTGATTTAATTAAAGCACCACCTAAGTCCTAACCTCCTTCAATTGGCCCATTTTATTATTCTTAATAATAATCATATTAAAGCACCTCTTGTATTGTTTTTTATATAAATAAAAAATAGGTTTTCATATTTTCATAAATTTTGTCTAACTTTGTTTACCAGCGATAAAGTTAAATGATTCTCGTGCAAACTCAGATTATTTTTAGTAAATAAAATTTTACATATTCAGAAATTACATTAAAACCGCTACAAAGTCTACTAAAAATAATTCAATTTTAATAAAATTATGATATATAAAATAAAAGATTAAGAGTGATTTAAGTTTACCACGGCCGAAAAGAGAAAAGGAAGATCTTCCAGTGACGGTAGGAGTAATATTTAGGTGGCTATATATACTTTTTCAATCGTTTTCCTATTTAATATTATCCTTATTGTGTTATCATATAACTATGATTGACACTATTTATAATGTTTTTAATTACACTAGTTTCAGTCCTAAATTACATAAGATCATATTGTGATAATTGTATACTTGTATAGTTGTATATATAATGCACAATTGCACATAGAATATGTAACTGCAAATCTCAGTTCAGGACAGATCCGATTTAAATAAATTATGACGGACTAGATCATCAGAGAATTTCAACATATTAAAGAACATCTTTATTACATTATATATGCGTAACTAGCAGGGCCGTCTAATGAATTTGAAAAAATGTATAATTGGCGCTCCACATTTCTATAAAATATTTTAAAAAAATCTCAATCTAAATACTTATACTAAAATCAATTGATTACTGATTAAAAGAGAACTAAAAGAGTAAAATGGTCAATGAAAAAAAATGATGAATCTATATTTTTCTTCCTTACTAGGTAACTATATTTTACTGATTAGTATTAATATATAATATTACAATATAAAATTAATAAATTTTTAAAAATTTGGAGCCCCATAAATTCGAGGATCCTGTTCTGGATAACCTATTAAACTCCTTAAAAACCGGCCCTGGGTGATTTGTTTTGAGACTGCTTGGTTCCGTTTAAAAGAAATGATAGTATTTAGAAATTGGAATACAGAGAGTCTTGACTCTTGACTACTACTCAATCATTAAATACATACGGAGTATATACCAAAGGGTGGCTAGAAGGACCTATACTCCGTATTAAGTATATGCATTTCTATGTATTCTTGAATTCCTAGAGTTTTTTCCCAAAGGTTGCATTTATGGAACATTGAATTCGAAGAATTTAACGTCCGAATCGGCGATGCCATCCCAACAAAAAAAAACAATGCAAAGCTCAAGCAATGAAAATTCTGCCAATCAACTACCTTTGCTTAAAGGAGTTAATTATCATTTTTGGAGTTTATAGGATAGCCTATCATTCATGAATGAAAGTGTGAGAGTTGCATCCATTTTTCTTTTATTAATTTCGTGGCTTGAGTTCAACATTTGGTATCAGAGCGTAAGGATGATCCAAACCCCTATTTGGGCGTCTCAAATATGTTAGAAGAGAGAGTTCATATGAAACACAACAAAAAAAACAATGCAAAGCTCAAGCAATGAAAATTCTGCCAATCAACTACCTTTGCTTAAAGGAGTTAATTATCATTTTTGGAGTTTGAAGATGAAAACACTCTTCAAATCTCAAGAACTATGGAATATTGTGGAAGATGGTTTTGCAGATGATCAACCGGAGGAGCCTGATCAAAATTTGAGAGGCAAAAGAAAGAAGGATGCAAAAGCCCTATATCTTATTCAACAAGCCCTAGATGATGACATCTTCCCTCGTATTGCTGCTGCCTCAACCTCAAAGGAAGCTTGGAGTATTCTTAAACAAGAATACTTAGGAGACAAGAAGGTAATCACGGTGAGATTACAATCTCTAAGAAAAGAGAGATGGATAATGCACACATGAAAGACAAAGAAACTATTCAAGATTATCTTTCAAGGATCACTAACATTGTGCAGCAAATGAAATCTTATGGAGAGGATATCAAGCCTTAGCAGGTTGTAAGCAAGGTTATGAGGAGTTTTACCCCTAAGTATGGGCAACTTATGTGTGCCATTGAAGAGGTTAAGAGTCTGGAAGTATACACTTTTGAAGAATTGAAAGGATCCTTGCAAGCTTATGAGGAGGGGCCACATGGACTGTGACAAAGTTGAAGAACAAGCTTTTCAAGTCAAGAGGGGAGGTACCTAGAGACCAACAACCTCAATTCCTAAGCATGGGAAGAGGAAGAGGTAGATGAGGCAATAGGGGAGGGTACAGAGGAAGAGGCAGAGGTAGAGGTCAACTCAATGGAGGTAGGCTGGAATCTAATACCTCTAAAAGCCCATACAAATATTACTATTGTAACAAGCCCGATCATAAGGAAGCTCAATGTTGGAAGAAAGAAGAAGATAAAAAGCAAGGAAGGTCTAAAACAAAGTCTAATTATGCTGAGCAAGAGAATTTATTATTGGCCCAACATAATTCTGACCATGGAGGCATGTCTATATGGTATGTAGATAGTGGGTGTTCAAATCACATGACCAGTTTTAAGGATATGTTTAAAGAGATGGATGAGTCCAAGAAAAGTGTTGTGAGGATGGGAGATGGCAAACAACTCAATGTGGAAGGGCTTGGTACAATCTCATTGCAATCTCAGTATGTGCCTAAACTTGCCCATTATTTGCTGAGTGTTAGTCAGGTTGTGTGTGGTGGATATTTTGTTATCTTTGAAAATGATATGTGTGTAATCAAATGATATGTGTGTAATCAAAGATAAACATAATGGTGAAGTACTGATGAGGATTACAATGGGAAAGAATAAAGTCTTTCCATTGGATCTCTCAAGTCAGTATGGCAGGGCACTTGTTGTAAAAGGAGAGGAGAATGCCAAATTATGGCATCTCAAACTTGGGCATTTGAATGTTCAAAGCGTGCAGATACTCAATTCAAAAGAAATGGTTCATGATTTACCAAAAATTGGTGAATTGCAACTCTGTGGGGGCTGCATATATGGTAAGCAGACTCGTGGTTCATTTCCCAAAGGACATACATGGAGAGCAAGTGGATGTATGGAGTTGGTGCATGCTGATTTGTGTGGGCCTATGCAGACTGAATCATTAGGGGGAAGTAAGTACTTTCTAATTATTTCAGATGACTTTAGCAGGACGTCTTGGGTGTTCTTTATTAAAAAGGACAAATCAGAATCCTTTATGAAGTTTAAAAAGTTCAAAGCACTTATAGAGAAGCAGAGTGGGCTACAGGTCAAGGCCTTAAGAACTGATAGGGGAGGTGAGTTCCTATCCAGGGAATTCACTCAGTTCTGTGAAGAACAAGGCATAATAAGAGAACTCATGACACCATAAACTCCTTAGCAGAATGGAGTTGCAGAGAGGAAAAATAGGACTATAGTTGAAATGGATAGAAGCATGATGAAATCAAAGGGCTTACCAACTTAGTTTTGGAGTGAAGCTGTAGCAACTGCAGTATATGTGCTCAATATTTCACCTACAAGAGCTATGAAGAATCAAACCCCATTTGAAGTGTGGAGAATGAAGAAGCCCTCAGTTGGTCATCTCAGAATCTTTGGATGCATAGCTTATACTCTTATCAACCTGAGAGCTAAGCTAGATGATAAGGCTAAGAAGTGTATCTTTATTGGATACTCTACTCAGTCCAAGGCATACAAGCTGTACAATCCTCATAGCAAGATAATCATTGGGAGAAATGTTATCTTTGATGAGGATTCATGCTGGGATTGGAAGCTGCAGAATCAATACAGTGAGGGCATGCAAAGAACCATCAGTTTAGAGGAAATTCATGAGGTAACTGAAGCACCAATTCAGCCAAGTCCACCATCAACAACTCCACCAACACCTCAGAGTTCATCACCATCCTCAAGTGGTCAAATTTCACCATCATCTCACTCAACCTCAAGTAGTGATTCACCTCCATCAAGAGTAAGATCTCTCATTGATATTTATGAATCTTGTGATCTTTCTCTTCTTGCTAGTGAACCTGCATACTTTGAAGAGGCTGGTACCTATGATGAATGGCAAAAATCCATGAAAGAAGAGATCAATGCAATTGAGAGGAATGATACATGGGAGCTTGTGAATCTGCCATATGAAAAGAATGTGATAGGATTAAAATGGGTGTACAGAATAAAGTACAACCCAGATGGAAGAATCTCAAAACTCAAGGCACGACTAGTGACAAAAGGCTATGCTCAAAAGGAAGACGATTATGAGGAAACCTTCTCCCCTATAGCAAGGTTTGAAACTGTGAGGGTTGTACTAGGTGTGGCTGCACAAAGGACACTACCTGTGTATCAGTTAGATGTCAAGACAACTTTCTTGAATGGTGAGATTCTTGAAGAAGTATTTGTAGAGCAGTCCCAAAGTTTTGAAAGGAAAGGAGAAGAAGGTAAGGTGTACAAACTAAAGAAAGCTCTATATGGCCTAAAGTACGCATCAAGAGCATGGTACAACAACATTGATTCATTCTTCATCAACAATGAGTTTAAAATAAGTAACAATGACCCTACATTATATGTGAAGAAAAGCATGTCTCACTATATAATAGTCTGCCTTTATGTAGATGATATCATATATATCAGTACTTTACATGTAATGCTAGACGAATTTCAGAATTCTATGAAAAAGGAATTTGAGATGAATGACTTAGGTGTTTTGAAGTAGTTCCTTGATTTAGAGGTTAAACAAGGTAAAACTGGAAATTTCTTATGCCAAAGAAAGTTTGCTACTGATTTGCTTAAAATATTACACATGGAAGGGTGTGAAATTGCTAAAACACATATGAATGCAAGTGAGAAATTGCAGAAGAATGATGGAACTGAATATGAATATGAAAGGCTATATAGGAGCATGGTAGGTGGTCTGAACTATCTCAAAATTACCAGGCCAGATATTGCATAAAGTGTAAGTCTGGTATCCAGGTACATATACTCCCTTACTAGGCA